ATTAGGAAGATAGTGTATATTCATATACAATACGCATAAAGTTTTTCTATACACCTAACTTTCAGTTTTTATTGATCATTTTAATATTGGCAAAAATCGCGATGGTGTCTCATGTCAAAAGTAGAATATAAAAAGGTATTTTCAAAACAATGTAACTACAATTAATTAGTGGTTGAATGATTGAATGTATGATGTAGATTTTCATATAAAGTTATATTTCACATGTAATATCATTTCGTAATATAAGAAACGCATAGTTTTGCTTGGTTGATCTTAGAATGTTCTTCTTCTTCATCTTGTGGAAAATAAAATTTTATACTAGTTCATATTCTCATCAAGCTTTTTTGTCACTGACAAAATTTAATTCAACTTCTTAAAATATTCAGATTCCCTTTTTTTTTTTTGCCAACCGAATAAATACTTTGTTTTTAAAGGTTGTGTATTGTGTTTTAGACATATTGGAATGAATGTGATATTTAGAAAAAAAAAAAATAATCTGAAACTAATGTTTGGTTGAACTATAATGGCCTAATGGGTATGAAACCTCATAACCTGATAAGACTATCTTACGTTGTTCACATTACCAAAATAGGTTACTAGAAAGTAGTGAAGTATCACCACAACACTTAAATGAATATATACAAAGCAATTTAATGAGATTTCACTTGGTTGATGTGACCATTACTTCAAATTGATTTTTTATTTTTTTTCCTTTAAGATTGCACCAATATATGAATACAAGTAACAAATAGTATTTGGTCTAATGGTAAAAAATTGTGTCTCATAACCTTACTATGGACATTGGACACATTAGGGGTGAAGATTCCTCCACACTCATAACAAGTCTTGCTCACTAATTCGAGTTTATTTGACTTGCTATGTGAGATTTTAGTTTGATAAGACACTTTCTTCGATCCTTACCTAATCTAAGTACATTGAATATAATGATTTTTTAAAGAGCTACTAGTAATCGTAATTGATTACGAGTTTACGAATAATAGTTATATTAAGTTCTAATATTTAATATTCTTTAAAAAAAAAAGTGCTTATATTTAATATTTTTCAAGTTTGCTTCATTTATGGCTGTAGATATCTTAAATGCTTGATTTTGTACTAATTGCTTATTATGACAAGAGGCTATCGCATAAAATTTCCAAATTCTCTTCACCAAAAAAAAAAAAAATACAATTTACAAATTGAAACAATTTTTACAAGCCAATTCGAGCAAACTAACATAACAACCTATGCACCCTATATAATACTTCGTACGCTATAACGTATAAATTATACTGAATCGCTATTCGTCGTTCGCAAATTACTGGGTGACGTTAAACATTTTTAATTGAAATTACATTTTTGCCCTTGTGGGTATTTTACCTATTTAAAGGTCCACCATGGGTAAATTAGTTACCGACAACATAAAAAATTACCGAGCCCACCACTTGTGTTAAAAAATTCCCGAGCATTAAAAAATCCCGGTTCCACCATTGTACGGTAATCCCGAGAAATTTAAAAATCCCGGGGCATAAAAGAAAAGTGTACGGAGTGGTGTTTTACGATGGACGACGACAACGTTTACACGCCGGAGGATTCGACGGAAGAATCTGTAAGTATTTCGGAATATTTTTTTTATGTAAATGGACATCCGCCCTTTATTTCCGGAAACATGGGGGAGATCCGACCAAAATTTCCGGATGTCCCCCATGACATCCGGAAATTTCATCCGGATGGGTACATCCGCCTGAAATTTCCGGATGTATGTGGGGACATCCGGAAATTTTGGGCGGATCTCCCCCAGAATTCCGGACAAAATAGGCGGATGTCCCTTTTTTTTTTTTTTTTTCTTACGTAATTGTTATTGTTATTATTATTATTATTACTATTGTAAATTTTTGTAAATTTTTATTATTACTATTATTATTACTATTGTTATTGTTATTATTACTATTATTATTATTACTATTGTTATTGTTACTATTATTATTATTACTATTATTATTATTATTACTATTGTTATTATTATTATTACTATTATTATTATTACTTTTGTAAATTTTTGTTATGATTATGATTATTATTAATATTATTACTACTATTATTATTAATATTGTTGTTATTATTATTATATTAGTTATTATATGTTAATGTTACGTAGTTATTGTTGTTATTATTATTAGTATTATTATTGTTATTGTTATTGTTATTATTATTATCATCAGTATTATTATTATTGTTATTATTATTATCATTAGTATTATTATTATTGTTATTATTATTATTATTACTACTATTAATACTATTAATACTATTAATATTATTATTGTTATTTTTATTATTATTATGATTATTTGTATATTATTGTTATTATTATTGTTAAATTTAAAATACTAATCCTTGCGTGTTTTATTTGTTTGTGTTGTTATTTTGATAGGATTCGGAGGTTGAAAACGACGGTGACGTTGTGAATTACAGTGCACATTTTGTGACAGACACGGTTTTTCTAACGTTTGACGATGCATTTACATGGGCGGATGCTGTTGCAATAAATCTGGGATTTATTTTGGTGAAATCGTCTTTCAACAAACTGAGGGATGGTCGACCAGTTCGATATTTAAGATGTGACCGGGGACGCAGGAGTAAGCCGAGAGATCTTGAGAACGCAATTCGGAAGGACACCAAAACCAAGGGCATTGGTTGTCCTTTCTACATCAAGATATGTTACGAGTTCGTCACCAATACTTGGTTTATCCGGGCGAAAGATGATGTAACTGGGACCCACAACCATCCAATGATTGCGTATCCAGAGGGTCATCGTAAAATTAGTGGGTTGAGCCCGAATGCGAAGCAGGTTGTGCGTGACATGACGAAGTCTAAGGTTGCACCGCGTAACATCATGGCGATTATTGCGGAGCAATTTCCTGCTGATCATCCAAACATCAGACACATCTACAACTGCCGGAATGACTTCAGAGAGGAGATGTTTGATGGGAGAGGAGTTGTTCAGCAATTTCTACATTAGGCGAGACAGAGTCAGTATGTTTATTGGGTCATTTCCGATGATGAAGGCGTTTTACAGCACACCTTTATGGCGCACCCAGTCATGGTAGACATCCTACAGACGTACCCCTATGTGATCGGTATGGATTCCACTTACAAGACTAACCGATACAGGATGCCGTTCTTTGAGATAGTTAGCGTGACACCGACAAACCAGAATTTTCTCGTCGCTTACGTGTTCATGCGCAACGAGAGCACGGCAAGCTATCGATGGGTTTTGCAGAGGTTGAGAGACGTGATTGGGTATAATAAGGAGCCGTCGGTTTTCTTGACAGACCGTGAGCTTGGGCTATGTGCTTCATTGAGGGAAGTGTTTCCAGGAACCTCGCACTTACTTTGTCGATGGCACATTAACAAAGATGTGGAGGCTCGGGTCACTGCTATGTTCAAAAGCAAGAAAATCGGTGCGTCTTTCAAAAACGGAAAATGGAAACGTATCATGGACGCTGCAACCGAGGAAGATTATGAGGCCGCTGTAGAAAACATGAAGGATAAGTGGGCAAGTTTTCCAGCAGTGATACAATATGTAGAGAACACATGGCTTTGTCATAAAACGAAGTTCGTGACATTTTGGACAAACCAAGTTCTACATTATGGCAACACCAGCACTTGCAGAGTTGAGAGCCAACATTCGGCCGTGAAGATGTGGTTTGATTCCTCGACAGGTTTGGTGTTTGCTAATTGTACTTCATGTATGTACTTTTATTTGTGCAGGAATTTCAGTTACAAATCATAACTGTTTTTCTTTGTAATGTGCAGGTTCTTTGGATACTATATGGGCTCGAGTTCATAGCCACATTGGTAATCAAATCAACGCAATTCATAATGGTTTGGAGGCTTCTAGGTCGAAGATAGGTCAAAAGTACCGACAGTTGCCACTGTCACGTATAAACGGGAAGGTGTCTCAGCATTGTTTGAAGGTTCTCGATGAGGAGACAAGGAGGATGAGGGAGCTGAGTTATCAAGTGCACGAACGATGTGGATGTGTAATACGTGTGACCCACGGGTTGCCCTGTGCATGCCAGATACATGATTCGCTAGCTGCTGGGACAGGATTGTACATAAGGCAAATTCACCCGTTTTGGAGGACCTTGGTTATTGGTTCTGGAGAGCACGGGACGGTGCCTGACAATGACTCGACCGAGGATGCCGCACATTTTCGTTCTCTGATGGAGGAGGTGTTTGATAGTGATCCTGCTGTTCTTCGAAACGTGTCTCGCATCATTGAAGAGGAGCTGCATCCGGATCATTCCGATCTCAGAGAGCCTGCTGTAAACCACCGGGTTTGTGGTCGACCAAGACACAATGATACAAGACGTGATCGTTCTTATTTTGAACATGTAAACCGCCAACACACTGTAAGCGGCGCACGACAAACAGGTACGATTGAGTGTTGTGTTTTTCACATAAAACAGCGTTCACTAAACTATTAACTGAAACCTACATTTGTGCAGGAGATGTAAACGACATTAGCCAAAGCCGTTATCGACACATGCTTCCAGAGCCGATGTTGCCTTACATCACAGGATGGAAGGATGTCATTGGCGATGGGAACTGTGGGTTTCGTTGTGTGGCCGAGTTCTTCTTCGGTGATCAAGGCCGATTGTATGACGCTCGAGAGACAATAGCGAATGAGGTCCTCGGTTATCGAGCCCTATATGAGAGGATTTATGGGCTTGGAAGACTTGAGATCAATGTGCAGCGTATTTGATGGGACGGTGGGGCGGTTGATTCCCGTCATTGGATGGTTGCAATACAAGATTTATTTCCTATTACGACTTGGTTCAACGCAACGGTTATTATTCTTGGTGTAGGCCAAACACCAACTTGCTACTACCCATGCCTCACGATATTGCCGTTCCGGGCAAGAAGGGGGGTCACAGCACCGGAGCGAGAGTTTGTCATCGCTACAGTTGGGGCATCACATTTTATTTGTCTTGAACTTGCACCTGATTCGCCACTTCCCCCGGTTGCAGGTTGGTGGACCGAGCACCACGACCCAAGTGTTGACGGTTGGGATCAGCGTTACGAAGCTAGAAGGAACATGTGGGATGCCTTAATTAGATAGTGAACATGTTGTCGTTATGTAAAGTGTAAAGCAGTTGTCGTTATGTAAAATGTAAAGCAATTGTCGTTATGTAGTCGTTATGTAAAATGTAAAGCAGTTGTCGTTATGTAAAATGTAAAGCAGTTGTCGTTTTGTAGTTGTTATGTAAAATGTAAACGAATTGAACTTAATTAAACAAAATATTTAGAAAACCACCAAAACAGTTGTTCAATACTTAAAGTACGTGACGAATAAAAAGTACATAAACGAAATGCGTACAAGGGAAATAAAAAAAAAAAACAGGAAGTTCACAACCCCATCATCGCCCTCCAATCAGCTCGTAGCGCCTCAGCCATTGCTCTTGTATCACGCGATAGGCTCGGATACTCCTCCAGGGTCCTGTTGATGACCTCCATAGACCGACCCATCCACTTCAATTAAAAAACAACATATTATAAACAACATATTAAAATAGCAACTTATTAAATTATACCAAAAAATACAACTACTTACGTAATCCGTGTTAGTTCTCTCTGGCAGTGTGCGACTCTCATGTGATGACGCAACTGGAGAAACACGTGGATGAGAAAATCGGTACAGCCACTGCATGTAACCAGGACCGACTGTAGGAGCACCACCACCAAGTCTGCTGAGGGCACCTACCACGACACTAAAAGACATACCAGGGACAAACCGATTCCACATCACAGATGTCATCTCTGGCGGAAAGTCAACCCGATACATCTTCAAGTTCGTCGGTCTCTTAGCCTTCTCAGGCCTGATAATGGCTGGTGGAATGCCCTAGACGTATCCAAGTTGCTGAACCACTCGATCAGGCATGTATGGCTCAATGATGCTACGATACTGGATGCAGCCAATGAAAAGAGTAGCAGGCACGCGTCGTGCTGGATCAACTCCGTACGGTAGCCAATTAACTTCATTGTCAGTCAAATGATCCAACCTAGCCCGAAAAGCGAGAAGGCGCTTCATGCTCTTGTTAAGGCACCCCGATCCAACATCCCAGGCGGACGCACGAGGAATAGCAAGCTCTCTGGTCAAGGTCCCCTGCTGAGGCCGGAAACACGGAAAGTACTCGTAGATCCACGCCTGCAGAAGCGTAAGGCAGCCAGCGATAGAATCAGCATCTCTTCGTGATGCTGTACCCAATTGCCGGTACATGTATGCTAGCACAGCAGAACCCCAGGAGTACTCACTAATCTGAACATCCTCAACAAACAGCTCATTGAGGAAGGAAGGATGAGTACGGTTTCCACTCTTGTCCAAAAACAAACAACCGCCGAGTACTAACCACAGGTACGCCCTGTAATGGAAACTGAAGGGCCTCTGCGCCTCCAAGGTCGACTCCACTATCCTCTCAGTCAGGACCCCACTACCCTGCCACACGGTTTTGGTACCGCACTTCTCATTCGGCTCTTCCTCAGTCATATCCAAGGTAACCGAGCACGCGTCCCGTAAAACGTTCGTGCTAGGAGTAGTGGAAACCATGGAACCGTCGACACGAAGCCCTAGAATATGATACACATCATGAAGCATGATCGTGATCTCCCCAAAAGGCATGTGAAACGTGTTCGTGTCTGGCTGCCATCTCTCAACAAAAGTAGAAATTAAGGGCCAGTCAAATCGCCGGAACATGATCCCAGGTAAATGAGATAGACCAGTGCCATCAATCGGTTCCAGGTGCTCCGGCGGAAGACGAGTGCGCCAGTTACCCAATTCAGAACACAACTGTGTCCTGCTCAAACACCGCAACACGTTTCGCTCCTGCCCACCCCATATGTAGGCAAACACGTGACCCCCAAAACTCGGAATAACGGTACCATCCTCAGGCCCACCTGGCATCGGCTCCTGCACCAACCATGACTCTGACGAGCTGGTAGAAGCTTGACCTGGTTCACTACTGCTAACATATCTCCCATGGTCACCCCTATACACAGTACAGTAATCCTGAGGGTCGTACTGTGCATCTCCAGCAGATTGACTTCCTCCATCTTCATCCTCCTCCCGATCTGATGAAGGCACTCCAGTAGACGAATACATGGGGGGGCTCCCTTGTGACTGGTGCTCCCCCGACCAAGCACCAACAGTCCCATACTGCTGCTCATGCTGAAACGGTGCATGTGAAGGTCCTGCACCACCTAACTCCCTCCTAACAGACGCATTCAAACGTCTTGATCTTGCATGACGAGGACCAGAACCCTCAATCTGCATTAAAAAAATAAGTACAGAATCATATTTCAATAATAATTCATAGTCAAAAAAATCAAATCAAAACTATAATAAATCAAATCAAATAAACAATAATAACAACATTACAAATAATAACAATAATATTATTCTTACAATACTAGTACACTACTAACAATAACAACACACTAACACACTACAAATAATTTCAACACAATAACAGACCAAATCAAAACTATAATTAACCACAAAACTGCCAAAATTTAAACGCAACAACGACAACCCAATAAAAAAAACAATTACAATAACAATAACAACAATTTAAGTAAACAACCATAATACATAACAACAACAGCAGCAAAAACCAATACAAACCAAACCAAATTTACATAACAATAACAATACATAGCAACAACAAACTTATTAAAATAAAATCAAGAATTATTGCTAAACTATAATTATTGTAAAACTAAATCAACAAAAATTACATATCATTAACTATTGCAAAACTAAATCAAGAAAAAAATTATTTTAATGCCACAAATGAAGGACACAAATTACTTCAAAAAAAAAAAAAAAAATGAAGGACACAAATATTTTCAAATTAAAACATGCACCAAATCAACAAAATCGAGGACAAAAAAAAAATTAGAAAAACATAAATTAAAAAACAAAGGAAAAACAGAAGAAGAAAAAAAGGGGGGGGGGGAAACAGAAAAACACAAAAACCAAAAAAAAAAACGGAAAACAGAAAAAAAAAAGGGGAATATCAGAAAAATATTGAAAAAAAAAATTCTGGAAACTGGACTTCCGCCCAGAAATTCCGGAAGTCCAGGGGAACTTCCGGAAATTTCAGGCGGAAACCCCACTTCCGCCTGGAATTTCCGGAAGTTCCCTGGACTTCCGGAATTTCTGGGCGGAAGTCCAGTTTCCAGAATTTTTTTTTTCAAAATTCAAAAATTTAAAACAAAAACAAAAAACTCACCGGCTCGCCGCCGCTACGACCACCAAACGTCAGCCTAATTCTCCGTCGGTCTGCCATCGTCGGATTCAACGTTTGATTGCAAGATTTGCTTGTGTTTGAGTAGCCTTCAACTATTTTGCTTTTTTTTTTTTAAAAAAAAAAATTTCTGATTTTTTTTCTTCCAAAATTTCAGATTTTTTGTTTTTTTTAGAGAGAGAAAGTGTCAAAGAGTGTTTTTGTGAGATGGGAAATGTCTCGTAAAGCCCTAACTTATTTTACCGAGTATTTATATACGGAGGATAATTTAGGAAATTTATGTAAAAAATGTCAACGTCACCTAGTAAAATGTGAACGACGTTTAACAACTTCCAAATTATATGAGATACTCGGTATAAAAAAAACTACTCAGTAAAATCAGAAAATTTAAATCAATTAAGTGGGACCAATAAAAAAAGGTAAAAAAGACGGTGGAAAAGAAAAGCTTGCAAAAGAAAAAGATAGAGAGAAAACCAAAAAAAAAAAAAAAAAAAAAAAAAAAAAAAAAAGCAACATATAAAACCCTAAAATCCTAAATATCCAAAAACCCTTTTTTTTCACAGATAGCAGTAGCACACTAATAAATTCCAAAATTTCGACTTCCCCTTTTCCCCAATTTCTCCCCCACCCCACCTGAATTTCTTCAATTTCTTCATCTTTTTTCTGGGTAATCTCAGTTATCTTCAAAAACCCGTGATTCTTGCGGCTGTATCTTTGGTTGTAGCAAGGTTAATTGTACAAAAATGGAGTCTCGTGGGCCCTCTGCGCCACCATCCCACCACCAGCAGCACCACCAGCAAGCGGCGCATCAGCAGCAGCACCACCAGCAGCATCACCAGCACCACCCACACCACCATCATCAGCCGCCGCAACAACCACCATCTGGGTTGATGATGCAACACCATCAACATCATCATCACCCATCTTCGAATTCTTATCAAAGTCCCAATTCAAACCAACCCCCACCTCAAATGATCGCAACCCCAAATTCATCTTCTTCTATGATGCAAAACAACAGGTTTCCGTTCAATTCACAAGTTGTTACAACTACCCCACCTCCGTCGAAGAACCCTGGTACTAGTCTTGAACCCCTAAATTCACCTTATTCTGGAGATGGGTCTTCTGGGATGAGGCAATCTGGTTTCGGGGTTGATCCGAATTCTTCGGGTTCGCAGAAGAAGAAAAGGGGTCGACCAAGAAAGTACTCCCCTGATGGTGGGGGGAGTAACATTGCTTTGGGATTGGCTCCTACTCCAATGTCTTCTTCTGTTATGGGAAGCGGAGGTGGGGTTGCTGCTGGTGCTGCTGGTGGAGGCGGTAGGGGGCAGGCGGATTCGAGTGGGACTGCTCCGTCCTCGGATAATCCGTCTAAGCGGCATCGTGGCCGGCCCCCCGGGTCTAGTAAGAAGCAATTGGATGCTTTAGGTGCGTTCCTGTTAGTTTTGAGTTTTTGTTGATATAATGTGGTATTGTTAAAGTGAGATTTTGATGATTGTCACTTGTTTGATCCTTTGTTTTTGCTTCTGGGCAGGTAACTGTGGGGTTGGTTTTACGCCACACGTTATCTTGGTGAATTCCGGGGAGGTATGTGTGACACTTGATAAATGGTAATTTGGGTGTGATTATTGAATTGTGATCTGAATTGTTGATTGTTAAATGTGTTGTTAATCATGGTATACTTGCTCTTGTTTTCTATGCATCTTGTGCCCGTTATGATCATATTTAATGTAAATGGCTCACTTAGTTTGAGTTATTAAATGCTATATGGAAATGACAGTGATTTATGTGCACGGAACCATATCTAATTATAAATCTGTGTTCTTTCTCATGTATAAAGTAAAGCTTAATTGTTGGAATCTTACTTTAGTTGTGATTCTATAAAATGTGTAGAGACGATTGTATAGCAAAATTAGCGTAACCATTGTACTGAAGTGAAGTCTAATAGGTAGCTTAAACATCATCCCCATCACTTCCTATTCCTTTTAATTGCTATGTTTGAAGCCTTCCTTAGTCTGCTTTAAATTTCATACATTCATAGTGTATATTGAAAACATTTGTATATACTACTCTTTCAATCCCGTAAAAAACTGCCTATTTCATTTGGGCACATAGATTAAGGAAACGTAGTTTGGTGGGCCATTGAGTGAAGATAGAAAAACAAATTGCAGTATTAGGGTTTGTTGAGTGGACCTAAACCTTAAAAGGAATTGAGCAATCCTTTAGAAGTTTGGGACATACTAAAATGGAAATTGGGTGATCCTTAATGGGACGGGAGGGTTGGAGGTAGAATATTATTTTCTATTCTTTCCTACCCCTCATAATTTCATTGTGTGTTCGAATTGGTTCTTTATTGTGTTTGAGGAAATGTGATTAGGATGTTTTTGTGCGGGGTTTTTAGCATTGATTTGTACTTCCATTGTTTAAAAATATAAGGTGACAAAGCTGTATAGACTTAAGTTACCTAACCCTGCCCTAGGTTAGGCCTTGTTTTAGAGACATTGTGAATTAAGATAATGCTGATATTGATGCTATATGTACTCTTCATTTTCTTTTGCATGACTAAAAGTGTGTGTCTATATACCAAGTTCCACGTCCTGTAATGATGGATGAATAGGTGGCTTGGTTGGTCCAGGTTTTATATTAATTTAGAAAAAACGATAGTATCCAGATATTTACCTTCCAAGCAAGTCTTTCCAACGGGCCTTCTCAAAAAATGGTAAAGGTACCATTTATTTTGTATTATTAGGCTGAAAATTATGAGCTCATTAAGATTATTTCTAATGTGCA